TTTCCACAATCACACAGACACAAGCACTTCTTTATGCAACCAGGCAGTCCGTCCAGTCGGTCCTTGAGCCAATGCCATTCGGCATTGTCGCATTCACAAATGCATCGTGAACATTAGGGTCACATTAGGGAGGTGTCATTTAAGAGAGAGAGAGAGAGAGAGAGAGAGAGAGAGAGGGAGAGAGGGAGCGAGCCAGAGAGATCTTAAGCCGAGACACGCCCCCAACGGCATATTTGGGGGGTCTGGACAGCAGAGTTTGGGGGTTCGCACTTCCTATTCTTATCCTTGGAAAAGAAAGAGACATGGAAAGAGAAGAACACGAAGGAGAAAAAGGGGCCGCCAAGTGCAAGGGAGTGGAAGAGTTAGGAAGAGTGTGCCACCGGATGAAGACCACAGAGGTAGGTCCAGGTAGGTTGACGGGATTTGTGCCAGTGGTGAGCAGTTTGTCCTGGACCACATGAGCCCCTCACGGCCTCAGCCTGCAGGTGTCTCGGCCTCCCGTGGACGTGCTGGCGCAAGCACGCAAGACGGCCCTGACGCTGGCCTTCGAGCTTGAAGAGAACTGTTTGATTGCCGCCGCTGCCGGGAAGAGGCCTTGAAGACACGTGCCAGCTGTGCTCTGCGTAATTCTGCATGGGAGCGCAGGCATCTTGAATGGGGCACCGGAGATCTCTACGGCCTCGGCCGGGATGCTGGTCGGGGCCCTGCCCTGCCCTGCCCTGCCCTGCCCTGCCTGTGCTTCTCCGCTTCATCGGGAGCAGAGGTGATGCCTTGCTACGAGAGTTCGCTGCGCGAGTGGAGCAGATGGGCTTTAATACCGTGGTGCCGAGGATGCAAGTGAGACACGGCGAGGCTCTCTGACTCTTGATTTGTCTTAGAACTTAGGAGTGGTGGCACGGGGAGTCCTTGGGCTGGCGGATGGAGCCCGGTCCGGCGCTTCCCAGCGACGGTCCCTGGCCCAGGACCTGCGAAACGAAGCCGAAGCCTCGGCAGCGGCCTGCAGCCTGCACCCTCCTTGAGTCGCGTCGCGTCCTTTCTGCTTAAGGCCGGTGCCTGTCGCGCGGCGGAGGTTCGGTGCCTGGGCCTACGCGCTGCGGCTGCGCATCGCTTGGGACGGGGGGGCCGGACAGGGCCAGCGCCCGCACCAGCCCAGGGGGAGGGGGCGGGCAGAGCGGGCAGAGCAGATCAGCCCTGCCTCGGAGCTCCGGCTGCGCCGCGCCTCGGCGGTCTCGGAGTCCTTTTCCGTGTCTCCGCGGGTTCGGCCGGCGAGTCGCTGCCCGGTGTGCCGGGATGGCAGCCACCGGCGAGCAAGGCTGCAGCCATGCGGCCACCTCTTCTGTCGGCCCTGCGGGAAGCGCCTGCTCGGCCGAGCCTGCCTGCGCTGCGGCGTGATCTGCCGGCAGGCCGAGCAGCCAGAGAGAGAGAGAGAGAGAGGGAAAGAGAGAGCGCCACGAGCGAGTCTTCTATCTTCTCTGGCCGTTGAGGTGGAGGACTGCCAGTTTCAAGCCCCAACATGTGGAGAAGTTGCGGATGCTGCCGATGCGGAGACCCTTGTCTGGGGTGCGACGGGCGGTGCCTACTGCCTTCGACCTTCTATGCAGCGATCGCCATCTGTGCGACTCAAGGCCAAGACCAAGGCACCACCATAGTAGTCCTGCCACGAAGTCTTCTGCTTTGCACCTGCAGTTTCTAGATGCCCGGATGACGGCGAACTATGGCGAACAGCGAAGAGACCCTGGTGCTCATCTGCGACTGCAAGATTCAAAACATCGGCAAGCTTCCTGACCAACCAGAGACCGTGGCCCAGGACTCCATGCAGCTCAGGTTGGACCACTGGGCACGACGACCGCGGCTCCAAAGCTCCACGAAGCTCATGACGAAGTGTTCGTCCGTTGCTGACTGCCCTCATCTGCCCTCATGCTCGGCCGAGCTGCTCGGGCTCGGCTCGGCTCGGCTCTTCTGTTGGTGACCCACCGGCCCAAGGCAGTGGGCTCCCAGGCTTCCGGGCTTGAGACGCGGAATCTCCTCGCGACAGAAAGAAGATGCTGCCGAGATCTGCCCATGTCATCGCTGTCGAGTTGTCTGAGACGCCCGCATTCTGACACGCGGCAGGTCATGGAAGCGGCATGCATGAACGGGCCTGCCGGTCAAAAGCCCAGAAGTTCAGCATTTGCCATTGCGTGGTATCCATGCGACTGTTTGAGCAGTCCTTAGCTGCTAAAGCCCTTCTCAGGCCACACTGATGCAAATCGGACAGCAGTGACTGCCGACAGTACTGGAGAGACACCAGGCAATGGCGCAGCCGGCATGCACCCCAGAACGCGGCTTGATGTGTCAACAGGTTGGTAGTAGCTGGTGGTGTGGAGCTCTCCCAGCCCGAGGCCACTCTGATGCGACTGCAAGCGCAAGCGCCGGTGCCAGCGCGACCACGATGCACGCGACCCAAGCATCCTCCGTCACCAGCCTTGCCGGTGTGACCCCAAGAGACGCAACATCCGCATGGCTTGCTGTGGTAGGGTCGGTAGCTGGTCGTGTGGATCTTGAGGCTATTCTGATGCAAATCGGACAGCTGCGAGCGGCGACCAAGCAGCCTCGGCCAACAACACAGCTGCAGGCGAGCAACTCAGATACTCAGCATTAGCTGTCATCAGCTCGGCAGCTGCGTGACCCGCTTTTTCCACCTTCTCGACTCACCAGTTTCGCGCAGCTTCTGCAGTTCGAGGTTACTCTGATGCGAGTCGGACAGCCGGTGGCAACGGTGGCATGGAGACTACGCTTCAGGCGACAGACGTAGTCCTTGCCAACAGCCTCACCGGTCCGCACCTGAGAAATGAATGGCGGCATTTGAGTAGCGTGTGGCATTCAGCTCGAGGCTGCTCTGATAAGACGACGGAGGCGTTCTCCGTTCAGGGCTTCCCCGGCCTGCACTTCAGAATCTCAGCAGAGCTCGAGTTTGGTAGCTGGTGGTGTGGAGCTCTCCCAGCCCGAGGCCACTCTGATGCGACTGCAAGCGCAAGCGCCGGTGCCAGCGCGACCACGATGCACGCGACCCAAGCATCCTCCGTCACCAGCCTTGCCGGTGTGACCCCAAGAGACGCAACATCCGCATGGCTTGCTGTGGTAGGGTCGGTAGCTGGTCGTGTGGATCTTGAGGCTATTCTGATGCAAATCGGACAGCTGCGAGCGGCGACCAAGCAGCCTCGGCCAACAACACAGCTGCAGGCGCGCAACTCAGATACTCAGCATTTTGGCACTACTGACCAGCTTCATGGATTGGAATTCAGAAATGTTTTTTCAGCTTGTGCCAGGATGCTCTGACACGTGGAGACCTCAGAGACTCTTCAGTCGTCTGCTGTCCGATTTGGGTCGTGTTTCCTTTCCTGCATGATAGCAGCATGTCCCGCGGGGTCGTAAGCAACGTCAGAGGAATACTGCGGGCGAGAGTTCTTGGGGCATTTTCTTCTGCATTCCTGATGGGTCCTTCGGCTTCCAAACATCTGCAACTCTCACATCCCTTGAGTGAAGCCACGGCTTTCAGCAGCCAGCATGCCTAATTACCATCACCAGCTTGTCCATCGACCGCAGACCTATCAGAATGCCAACGTCTTAGGATCGTGCAGCAAGCATGACACACTCTTCTGCGCAAACATGTCGGAAGACCGTTGACTGCGCACAACCTGGTTGTACTCAACCCCTGTCATGGTCGCTGAAACAAAAACGGACAAAGCAGGTCAGTCCGTACTTGAGGTATACGCGATTCAGCACGAATGAGAAGGACTTGACCAGAACTTACACAAGCCGCCATTTTCGGCTGTTGGAGACCACTTGCTTACAAAATTTGCTGGCATTCTGATATCCCTATTTTGTTGGGCGAGAGACTTGGCGATTCAGGTTCTTACAAACTTATGTGCATCCATGCTTCACAACTTCGCAAAGGTTGCTGGCTCAATCTTCATGCACAGCCTGCCAGCAGACACTCGAATATTAGATCCTAGTGCTAGCTGCTGCTAGCTGACGCGAAAGCTTGAAGACTCGCCGGCGTGAGCTTAACTCTGTTCCCTGTGAAACATTGTTTCCATCTCGTTTCCCAGCATGTGATGCATTTCCTGTTGCAACCCTGTCGTCTTGCTGATGGCTTCTGAGAAAACGGATGTGTAACAAAAGCTGCTGGTCAGCAAAGGTTAAGCAGTTCTTTTCCTGAGTATCGACCCCTTACCCATCAAGGGCAGAGGAGGGCAGAAGCAGACGATTGATGGTCTAAGCACCGAGGTCTGCTTGGGCACTTCCAGATGGTTGGGCGGCGTACTCAACCCCGCAGGGCCACGTCTTCTACTACCATCACAGTTCGGGCTCCCAGTCCACTCAGAGGTATGACGACACATGATCTTGGATATCTGAGGCACTGGGATATCTCAGTGGGAAAGGCCCGCCGGTTGAAAAAAGTTGGATTGCAGCTATGCCGCAGTTCGTAGCCTTTCACACAATCCCCGGCCCGAATGAAACACTGTGTTGCATCGGCTCAGTCTTCATGCTTCATTCATGGCAGCACCCTTGAAGGAACCAGCCCTCACACGAGAAAAAAACAAATCCTCCAAGCTGCAATCTAGTGGGAATGCTGCGTCGCAATGCGCGGCTTCGCAAGGAATATCTCTACAAGAAGGCCCCGGAACCGGAAGTGGCCTTTTGGGCTTTTAAGAGCCCTGGGCCGGGCCCGAAACCCCCAGGCCCTGGAAGACAGGGAGGCCACCACCTTCGAGAAGAAGCGGAAGCTCCAGGAGGCCGAGCGAGGAAGCCGAAGCCGAAGCCGAAAAAAAACCGCTTTCGAGGTTCAAGAGGTTCAAGAGGTTCAAGAGGTTACACACTCCTGGGCTTTCAATTCGCAAAGAGGGGAACGGGGCAACGACTTTTGAGTTCAGAGTTGACTCCTTGTCAGTATCAGGTTCTAGGCTCATCACTTCAGTCTCAGCTTTTAAGCCTGGGCTCGAGTTGGAAGTCACGTCAGCTCCCCCGACAACGTGGGGTGAGGGGGAGGGGTGGCCGGCTCAAGCCGGACATTGGCAGTTCAGCCTCGGGTTATGTAACAACTCATGTAGGAGACCCTGTCAGTCTAGCATAGTAGAACTAGTCATTGTTTGTTCGCTATCTTTTTCTAGTCCTTTTACATGAGCGAAGGGAGATGGGGAGAGGCTTTTTGCTTGTTGCTGTCCTTTGTGGCCCTTCACTGCTCAACGTTTTGAGTTCCAGACTTCTGTGATGAGAAATGAGACGCAAGCAAGAGGCAACGCGAGACAGGAGACAGCCAGAGAGAGCAAGAGAGAGACAGCGAGAGAGAAAGAACATTCAATGCCCCGCCCATAACATATGGGGGGCCAATAGTCTGGGGATTTTGACAGTCCCCTATGGCGTGTGGAAGAACAGAAAGAACAGAGCAAGCATATTTACTTATCCTTATGTCAGAAAGCTTCGTTTCTTGTCTGGGCGTGCATTCTTGGGTTATGAAGAGCAGTAGGGATGGAGGGAACGGGCGCAGAGTCACGTTGTTAATGAGAGAGGGAGAGAGAGAGAGTGTGTTTGGCTATGCAGCCTCCTTTCCACGCCTTTCTCATGCACAAATCATAAAAAAGGTCAATAGACAGCCTTACGTCCCTGTTTCTCGCTTCCTCTCTCGGGTTCGTCTATCTCGTGCTGCTCTCTGCTACGCTTGCTCCCTGACTCATCTCGATCTATTCTTTCCCTCCTTTCGCCACTCCCTTTTCCTTCGTTCCTTCTTCTCGCTGGCTGACAGAGCGTCAGACAGGAGGGAAGCGAGTATGTATATATGTATATATGCAATATGTAGTATGCATATATGTATGTGGCGTGGACCTTTATGTATAGTATGACTACTCTCTAGGTTGTATTAGTGATATCTGTAAATGTGAGATCCTTAGCTCCAGTTGAAGGTTGAGTGCTCGCATGTATACGTGTATTTATGTAGGTAGGTAGGTAGGTAGGTAGGTAGGTAGGTAGGTAGGTAGGTAGGTAGGTAGGTATGTATGCATGTATTTCTGTATGTGTATATGCATACACGAATGTATGTATATATGCTTTTTCTGTATATATGTATATGTGCATTTATGTATATATATATATATATATTTATGTACATACATACATATCTACATATGTAGATACATACATACATATATATATATATATATGTATATCGTACCGGTTCAAGGTGTTGATGTGGCATGTCTTCTGTCTTGAAGCGCAGGCCTTTGACAGCCAGAAGCCGATTCCCACAGAATTGCGTGGAGAGGACAGGAAACTCCGCAAGGCATGGGATGTGCGGAAATCTTTAGGGTCAGGTCTTAGCTGTTAGTGAAAGGTCTTGGACTTGGCGGACGACCGGACGAAGGACCAGCGCAAAGCCATGGACGATGAGTATGCTTACCTCGGCGTCAAGGACCCAAAGGTAGGGTGTGGAATTGCTCTGCGTGTAGGAGCCACGAACTCACGCGGTGACAGGTGTTGGTCACCACCTCAAGAGATCCGTCCTCACGTTTGAGCCAATTCCTGAAAGAGCTCCGGATGTTGCTCCTTGGACTCGATCGAGAGTACGCAAAGGCTCAGAAGCCACTGCGGCACATGACATGTGGTACAGGGGCACATTGCCGAGGTTCCCTGGAGCTCAGCGTATGAATCGCGGCAGCTATGTCGTGAAGGACGAGGGTCTTCCGCATCATCATTGCATTTGCTGGGTGCCTTGCCGGAGGACCTAATGCAGCTGGCCCGGTCGCACGAGATGACGGATGTGGGCCCAACCCTTGATGACCATTGAGGTGTTGTTGCGCAAGTGGACAGGTGATCTTGGTGCACGAACACCGTGGCGAGCCCGACGGCATGGTCGTTTGCCACCTGCCCTTCGGGCCCACGGCCTACTTCGGTCGGGGCCCCAAGGCTGCATGGTGCGAGCGCATCGTGCGGTGCCCACGTGGAGGCTTGTCCAACGTGGTGCTGCGCCACGACCTCGCTGAGAAGCCACCGGCCATGTCTGAGGTTCTCCAGTGAGAGCCGAGATCTTCTCAGCGCAAGCACCAAGCACCGCTTTTTCAAGTCTCTGTTTGTGAGGCCAGCCCGCACCTCGTCTTCCATGGTTTCACAGCCAAGACTGGGATCCGGGTGAAGACGATCCTGCAGGCTTTTCAAGAAGATCTCGGCCGTCTGGAAAAACCCGCTTCTCGAAGGCACTCTTCCCACCGGCAAAGCAAGCCGGCGACAGAGTCATGACCTTTGCCAACCGTGCCTTGTCCTGGCAATCCAGACCGTGGCTCGCACTGTTCTGCGGCATTTGTCAACTGCGCTGGTCCGAGACCACGATGTGATCCATTTTCGGCACCACAGCTTTGCAAGGCAAGGAGTCATAGTCTGGAGAAGAAGTGGGAAGTAACTCGAGGGGCACCTGTGGGAGGCCAAAGGGTCCTGGCGGCGACGGCCATCGCTCTCGGGTGCCCTCGGCCAAAGGGTCGAAACTGCGCAAATTACGCGCTTTCATGCGAAGTGTGCGCACAGTGCCATGCTTTGCCTCCGAGGCGAAGGACGTGGCTCTTACAGAAAACGGGCCCCGATTCCAGATGAGGCGCAGAATCTCGCGGCCCAGAGCTGACATGAGCTCGCCTGCTTCCCACGGCGTTCTGCAGGCTCTTTCGTGTGGAGCTTGGGACGATCGACATGAAGGACGTCGAGGCTCGTGCGGCGATCTTTGCAGGACCATCTCGAGCAGAGCAGCGCAGGTGGAATGGGTCCTCCGACCTTACTTCAACCGGCAGAAACAAGCGTTGGCTTTGCCTGATGAGGACGGCAAATGCCTTTCTTTATCCGTGGGAGTCTCGAGCCTCCTGATCAGGAGGAGCCAAAGACCTGAGGGCTCCGTCGCTCCGTCGCTCCGCCGACCCACCTGTCTCACCCACAGTGCCCGGCCCGGTCCGGCATGCGCAGCTTTCCAGTTCGTCAAAGATACGTGTGAGCCAGCAGTGGTTTGCTTCCTTTTCGGATTTCGTCGCAGTCTCAACCGTCTCTACCTGCCAACTTGCCTGCTTGTGCTGCTCCCGGATGTTGGAGATCCCTGGCCCGAGAGTGGCCCATCTTGTTGGGGGACATGGCGCGGCGAGGAGACGTGATGTGTGCTCAGTGCTCTTGACTCGGCCGTTTCAGCATTCATTGCTGAGGAGGCTCTCATGCCTTATGTGCAGACGTCGCAGGAAGGCAGGGTAGCCATAGCCCTGCGGTAGCCCTGCTTTGCTCGCCCAGTCTGCGCATTTTGTTCAGGTCTCCGCCGTGATGATGGAGCCCAATGGCGTGCTGCCGGTGAGAGACCGACAGTACACAGAGCATGTCACACACCAGGAGAGGGAAATGGAAACACAGATGTAGATCTCGGCTTTGTGACTCTCTCTTCTCCATTCTCTCTCTCTTGGCTCTCTGAGGAAGGGGGAGAAGGCGGAGAGAGCATCGAGCTGGGGCAGCGGCATGAGGCCGAGAGCGAAGCATGTGGGCATCTGATTTGCTCTCTCAGCTCATGGCAGGCGCGCATCGGGCCTCCGCCCAAGTTATCCCGCATTCGGGCACACCCTGCCGGACTGCAAATTGCAATGATTGCAAAGCCTCAGGTGTGGTTTCCTGCCGCCCGCAGCTCTTTTATCTTGTTCGTCGGCCAGCAAATCTTTTTGGTGCTCCCAGGTACTTCCTCCTTTGCCTCCTAGTCGCAGGGCTGCCATGTGCGGCCTCCGTCGTTCTTTGGTCCGACATGGGCCACGACCTCACTTCCATCTCCCGAGCCCGGGGTAGGGGTCTCTGAAGCACCACCAAGGCTTTGGCCAGGAGGTGTACGCGTACTTCTTTGGTGGCACAGCGCCTTGGCCGCCTTAGCACACCCAACTGGGCTGCTAGTGACTGCTAGTGGTGACCTGATGGGAAGGAAGAGACATTGCCGCAAAATCTGCGCATTCCTCCCAGGCGCACGGGGCGATCTACGCTGGACTGTCGCTTCTGCTGCTGCTGTGCCTGTCCGTGGCCTTGGCTGCTGCTCTTTGCTGGATTTTCGAAGCTTCTGCTTTGGATTTAGATTCAAGACAGACTTCAGGTACCTATTGGACTTCTTTTGGCCCCCCCACCTCGAAGGCTGCGAGTTGACGCAGGAGTTTTAATTACAGCGATCTGAGTGCAGGCCAATACTTCGTTCTATGCGACAAGGATCGTGACCCTGTGCGTTGGGGGTCTGCTGCCGCACTTGCAACAGACTGCGGCTGTCAGGACATGTTTGTTGGGAGGGCCATTTTGGGCATCGCGGGCATGCTGCCCGGAGCTGAGGGCGGCATACGTCGGTCATCTACATGAATCGGAAGTCTCGAGCTTCTTGTTGGTGTGGCCGAAAGGTTGTTCGCTGCAGCACTCAATCTGGCGGAGGTGCCGGCAGACCGGACTCTTGAAAATGTGCACTGCGCCAGTCGGATTCATAGCTCCTTTAGATTCCCTGCCTCCAAGACGTATCCAGCAGTACCCATCCAGTGCACGGCACCGCGCTGAGAGCTGAGTAGATGCTGTGAGATCATGTTTTTGTGCACTTCCGAGGTTCTGCTGGGTCCATTGCTGACCACGGTTGTGTCGTCGCCTCTCTCCTCGGTCGATCCAATCTGTAGATTTGTTCTTCAAGGCGGGCCTTGACGCGGCCTCTGCCAGAGGATGCTGAGCCGGTCTTCAACCAAGCCCGGTGCTGAGTGGAGAAGCGCAAATGCGGACGACCTACCAGAATGTGTGGGATCAACTCTAGCAGTGCTGCGATCCGGCCTTGGTGATGCAACCTGCAAGAGCGGTAGAGTTCTAGGGTGGGAAGGGGATTTTGGGGCCCAGTCGCAAAGCTAAGAAGCGCTGAAGAACCTCGAGCGGGGTCGTTTCAAGCCGGTTTCGGGGCGGCGTGCAAAGCGGCTTTACACGGAGCACTTTTTCCTGCTAGGCTAGGCTTGTGATCTGAACCCAGGTAGGGCACGTGCACAGCATGAGGATGCTGAAGATGCAGCCGGGCCCCCTCTCTTTGCATGCGTCCTGTGAACCATTCGCTTGCCTGACAGGCGCTACGTTGGTTCGGAGAGGGATGCTACGGCATTCTATGCTGGTAGCATGACGGCGTTTTTCCTGTCCCGGGACCCAGCTCTAAACAGAGAGGGTGTCTTTTCTCGCGCCAAGTGCGGCAGCCTGGCAGCCGAGACTTGGGATTCTGACCTTGGCCGTCTGGCTCGTGCTCTGGCCTCGGCTCGGGGCCGCTATGGGCCGCTGGCGACAAAAGTCAGTGTCTTCGTGCCAGGTGGGCGCTTAACGAGAACATCGATTTTAGCGACGTCACTTTTGGTGATGCCGAGTCGGCCCGAACTCCCAGCTCGCAAAGTCTACATTTGCCTGTGCCTGCTGATAGAGAGACGGGCGACAGCTACAAGTATGCTTGGAAGCTGTTTGTTTACTTCCTTGGAGCCTATGAATGCTTCACAGATCGAACTTGACCGGACATGTTGATCGTTTTGCACACGCAGAACCTCTGGGTAACAAGCAATCCCTCGCATGAAGTTGTGCTAGCAGTAGAAGCGCAGCGGACTCACGGGTTCGCATCTCAGAACGGGTCACGAGACGAAGTGCGCTGTGTTTTTCTTTGGAAGGGCGAGTACAAGACGAAACTCGCTCACCCCTTGAGGATCATAGGGCGCTTGTCTGCGCAGCCGAACATTTTTGCGTTAAGGAGAAAACATAGCAGAGCAAGTATACGATATGTGTCACAGGTGTTGCAAGTACACATCAGGACGTCCTTTTTACTAGCAGTGACCGCGCGGACTTTTCCACTGCCCACGTATACTGAGCAATCCACAACGGACTAGACAGTTAAAGCGCTCAGACGCGGAACGCCAAGCAGGGCCACCAAGATGCAGACGTTTAAGCATGGGCATCAAGCCTGGAGGCTAGCAGCCTGGTGGATGTTTTGAAGCACCAGTCAACTGCAAGATGTAGCCTGCTTGCGCAAATTCAAACGCGAGCTTGAATACAGAGTCGAGCAGACAAGGAGCTGACGTACATTCGTTGGGTCTCGCCCGTGGCCAGCAGCCCAGTTCCCACGAATATGTTTATAAGAGATCTCACTGACTGTCTTCGGAGGCAGTGGGCTTGGCGTACCTGATGTTCGGCTTAATTGTGCGCCGAAATCCGTTTGAAGGATGCTTGTTGGAATTGCTGAGCGCTTTGTCCCCTATCGAGCCTTTGCAGGTGTCTCTGCGAGTAGGTCTGGCGAAAAGCTACAACCATGGCGACATGTTGCTCCAGATGGTGACTGAAAGTGACCAGGTCACAGCACGGGGCTCGGTACAGGCATGAGCAGGGGAACAGGGCCTTCGTTCGTTCTGTTCCCTACTGTTCAGATGAGCAACGGGCGCAAGCAGGACACCTGGAAGCTTGCACGGTGCTTGAGTGGTGCTCGCCTGTCGCTGCTTCTGCAGAGGTCAGTGCGCCGCAAGACACTGGTGGGCCTCGTTTCGCAGCAGATCGAGGATGAGGACTGCAAGTCGTGGATCTCAGAAACAATCGTCGCAGCGCAGCGCCGGCCGTGGCATGGCTGCTTTGGTCGATTCGCTGCGTAGCGTGCTTGAGGCTGGCTTTCGACAAGCTGAGCTGGGGGCTTGCTCATCCTTTGTTGCCGGTGGGTCCCACGTGCTGAGCTGCCGATCGAGGCAACACACAGAAGGACAAGTTCGCAGAGAAGCAGATGCAGCTGGGTCGCAACAATCCAACCCCAACATTTTGTGTGAACCTTTGCAAGCCCTTATGGTTCCGAGGCAGAACTTGGACCTCGTCTCTCGCATGATCAAAGTTTGTGGCTGTGTCTTTGTGCTCATGCCGTGGCCCTGAGCACCGTGAGAGAGACCGTGAGACCTTTGCGAGTCTGCGTGGTTTGCGCGGAGCTACAGGTTCGGCACCACTTGGATGGCCAGTCAGCTGGTTTCCTCCAGTAGCCACCTTTCTGACCTGGCCGGCTCCCGAGCGGCTAAGCCGCCGCTAAAGCCTGTGTGCACCGTTGCCCTGTCGAGGTTCTTGGGTTCCTCGGGGTCTTCAGCATGAGCTTCTGCCTCTTCGTGGCCGTGGCTTTCCAGCGGCTGAAGACGGCTCCGAGCCAAGTCGCTGCCCCCGCGCGAATCCGCAAAAGCCGCACAGCGTGTCTCACAGTGCAACCAGAACATCCGTGGCAGTGGATCCCTTCGCAGAAGTAAAGACGGGCTCGACTTTCACTTCCTTTCTCAGCCTCTAGCGCTGTGCCATATGCCACACGGCCCTTACCATTGAAATTCAGCCATCGGCAGCATTGTTCCAGCGGCTCTCTGATGCCAAGCGGCGGCTGAGAGGAAGATGCATAGGGTTCGAGATGGAAACGAAGCTTCGGTGAGCAAACACATGCTTTCAGTCACTTGAGATTTGCCGGGGGGCGATCCGAAGCTGCGGAGCCTGACAGCCCGACCTCAGCTAATTCCTCTCAACATCCCAAGTCACATGCCGATCCCGAAAATAAAGCTCCTTTTGTTTGGTGCACCAGAAGCATCAAAGAGAGACCACCCATCGCCCCCCGCCCCCACCACCCCCGCCGCCCTGCAAGCCAAGAATACCAACCAGATAGGAGAATGACACAAGCGCACCTCCAGAAACCCCTGCCCATCTTGCCGTTCGACAGCCTCGCGAAACATGGTTATCCTGTACAGCAGCAGTGAGTGGTTGGAGGTGCTCTTCAGGTATGCTGGTACTGTTTGGCCGCACATCTGGGGCAAATGGCTGGCCTCTTCACTATATTCGATTGCCGCTTACCTCTTCGCCCTTGAGACAGGGCTGCAGTTTGGCACGGAACATCATTCAATGCTGCTGCCTCTGTCGGTGACCTTCCTCTTGATCTTCCGTGCGAACGAGGCCTATGCCCGGTACTGGCTGGGGCGGTCCACCTTGTCGAACTACATCTCTGAAGTCCGAGAAGTTCTGTTGCTGTCGATCATCTATGTGCGTGGTGGGCTCGAGTCCTCGATCCACTTGTTCCATCAAGGACCTGGGGTGACCGTTCCATCTTCTGTTAAGCCTGACCACTATGACGAGAAGGCGAGGAGCTATCGAGTCGACGTCGCTCGCCTGAGCGTGGCGCTGGCCGTCGCATTCAAACTGCACACGAGCATCGCTCTGGACGGATATTGCTTCGGCAGTATTGAGAAAGAGGCGAAATGGTTCCTAGACTGGGACAGGTTGAGATTGTTACAACTTCTGACAGAGGAGGAATTCGAGATTGTGAACCGATGCATTGGCCTGGCAGAGGATGAGTCAGTACCGGAAACGCGACGTCGGCTTGCGAGCCAGTTCCACAACGCGCGGACCTTGGAGGGGCCTCCCAGTTCTTGGGACGAGGAGTTTCCGGTGAGATTTGATCAATTTGTACGCGTGCCGGTCGCTATCGTCTGGTTCCTCAGGGAGGTGCTTTTCAGGAACATGAACGACCCTTTCAACACTCAGCCCTGGGGTATCAAGGATCGCTTTGTCGGCGCCTTGGTCCACTTGCTCGGTGGTATTCTCGAGTCCTTCGAGACGGCGCATATGGTCTGTACGACTCCCATCCCGTTACCCTATGCGAACCTTTGCAAGACCTTGCTGTGCTTCTACATGATCTCAGCTCCTTTTTTCGTGGATCCGAGCCGGGGTTGGTTTGCAAACACGGTGGTGCCCTCCGTAATCTCCTTCGCCCTGTTAGGCGTGGACTCCATCGCCACTGAGCTTGAGCCCCTCGGCAACCTCTTCAAGTTCGGACCTCTAGGGAACAGATGTGAGATCAGGTGCACATGTGCTCACAAAATGCATCTCAGGAATCCTTTCGGGGACGACGTGAACGACCTGGACCAACTGGAACAGGTGCATATCCTTGAGCGCGAGGCTATGGAGCTCCTGAGGCAGTCTGGGGATATCAGGGGCTGCAGTGTCTTCGGGTGGCAGGAGGTACCCGACTTAGTGACTTCGCCGTGTGAGAGGGTGCAGAGTCCTCCGCTACGGGGCTTTGAGTGAGAATGTCCGGCCACGGTGTTCGTGTTTGTCCGCACAGGGAAGTCGGATTCACTTGCTCACGCAGGCGGCAGGCAGAGTGTGGAGGGAGAGGGGGAGAGAGACTGCCGTGACCCGCATGCCGAGAGAAAGACAGACTGCCCTGCCCTCATGCGCAGGCTGAAACGAATTAGTCCATCCCGTGTTGATGACAGAAAAAGCGACACTACTCAAGGCTCGCATGTTTAGACGCCGCTGCGTAGCTCCAAGTTAAAGGAAAGTCCTGCACACTTGGCCGGTCCGCGAAAACATGTTGAGCGTGCTCCAAGGTTCCGGACTTTGTAAGCAACAAGTGCTGCCGCAGCCTGAAGACGCAGCTGGTGGTAAAAGACCTCGCCCAGTTACAGGTGATGCCTCTCGTCGCGGAGGAGGACGTGGTGCCTGCATGGCTGCTGGACAGAAAGGAGGAGTCCCGGCAGAAGGCGGCAGCCTGGTCCCTCGTGCTCTAGCGACTCTGCAGCGACTCTGGCGGACTCTGGAACTCCGGGGCTCAAAGAGGCCTCACACGGTGCCGTCCGAAGTGCCGTCCGAAGGTCGGGACGGCCCGTTTCCCAGCGTGCAAAGACGCTGCCGCGCAGATCGAAAAGGAGTGACGACACTAATCCCTTGCACGGCTTAAGCAAGAAGTTGCAAGAAGCACAGATCGAAGTGTGTCCTCACGAATGCCCGCACTGCACAACAAGGTCATGGCCGACTGGTGCAAGGAGGGACATACGACGTTCGTGAGGGAGACTGCTTGACATGCACGAGAATGCCCCGCCTGCACTTACTGTGTTTCCCAGAACCTACCACTTTACCGGCTGTCCGTGAGCCTCCTGAAAAGCTCGCGTCTCGGTCTGTGGGCTCACTGCGCCATTGGCCAAGAGAACTCGACCATGCTTTCAACGGCTATTCTTTGTTGAGCGAGGTGATTGGGTGCGTGCGCTGCTCGCCGCTGCCGCAGCATGTTAGTGGCGACCCCATCGCCTCTGCCAGCCCCCAGGTCTTCTGCTTCAGTCCACTGCTACCCGTGGTGCAGCTGCCTTAGTGCACTTAGCAGCCCTTGCATGATTCCGCTGCCTCGGATCGCCTCAGGCTGGCTCTTTCCTGCTTGAACCAGAAGACTCGCAAGTGGCGCGGCCTCCCAACCATCACCTATGAGGTGCGCGAGAGAAGAGGGGTGTGCAGAGTCCAGAGTTGGAGTGTGCAGGCAGAGGAATCGTGGGCCGCCCAGATGCTGTGAGCTTCGTCCGACGCTGACATGCGGTGCTTCCAGGGTCGCGCTTGCACCGAACAGTGACGCGGCCGGGCATGTTAAGCACATCTATCCAACGAAGAAGGGGGCACGGGCGTTGCGGGACTGTTCGGCCGTTGCCTGCACAGGAGCAGCTCTGGCTCACGCAGCGCGTCTCCTTCCAGGTCAGGTGTGTGTCCCTTTAGCGAGCTTGGAGCTTGGCAGCTGCGGTCAGAGCCTTCGCTGTCTCGTCGCAGGTGGAGGCAATGCGTCTGGACTGGGACTGGATCTCTATCTTCATGAAGATGTATGTCTTCGGCACGGGACCTAACTTCAGCCTACTGGGCCATTTTCAGTCGGCAATTTCCCAAAGGCCTCCTCATGCTCCTCTACGTGACTTTTCCTATCCTGCTGAACGTCTTCCTTTCCTGGTGCGGGGGAGAAGTTAGAAAGAGGGGAAAGGGCGACGCTTTGAGCTGCGCCTCTGCGGCGCTTGAGCTTGGGAGGCTCAGCTCGGCACTTCAGGGCTTTGACTTCGGCTTGGTATGCCTCTGCATCGTTCTGGCAGGCACCTGGTAGGCGTCTTGGGCATAGCGAAGGCTGTCTGCCTCTGTCTGCCAGGCATGTGCTGCTTCCTTCTACCTCCGGCTCCGCGCTCGGGAGCGATGCTGCGGCGATCTGATGCGGCGATCAAGGCGGCTCAAAATCACCTCGGAGTCTCAGGTGCCGGGGGTGCCTGTCTACCTGTTCGCTGGCATCATCATTGCGGATAAGTGTCCCCTGGGTCCGGCCGGCCTACGTTGCAACACGTTACACAACATCCCAAGCCGCCTGGGTGGCTGCGTGGCTGGACGGCTGTTGCGAGGCTTCGAGGCCGGTGCGGGCATTGCCATCGCAGTGGGGTTCCTTCTGAAGCTCATGGCTTGCGCCATGCAGCAGCCACCTTCCCAGCCCAGAAACCCGCGGATCCCGCCCAGCCACTTGGATCCTCCTCCCAGGAAGCTCATTGGGGAGCGCCTGGGCGCAAACTTGACCATTCGCACACAGGCACGGACGTGTCTCTGGTCTTTTGCCTCATTGTGAGGACATGGGGAGGGCTGAACCGCTCGTAAATGTCTCGTTGTTGGGCTCATGCAAAGATGTACGCATGCTTCTTGTGAAACCCGCAGTGGCATCGAAAGGTCGGGATCAACACACCGATGATCCGTGCCATTGAGGACGGAACAGACGCATCGCTGTGCTTTGTGTCTGGCTTCGGATTGATCATACTTGCATATGTATACATCTAGCCAAGAGCAAGGGCAGGCATGGGTGGACATGTGCATGTCTCATACTGAATACACATCTGCCGGCATGTTCGAGTCGAACCTGTCCAACATGACGTTAGATTTTTGTCAGCCTCTTCCAGCGACTGTGCTGATTTTATCTGTAGCGTACAGCTACTAGCATGCTCCTGCCTGTGAGTGGAGCGATCAAAATAATCATACATAGCGCTAGTGAATCTGCTTGTGGCCGTCCAACCTCAAGCTGGTACTGTAGCAGAACTGGCAAGCTTTCTGTGATGTGTTGGTCCCGGCCAGAGACACCACAACCACTCGATTTTTCTTCAGTTGCGCAACTTCGGCCATGGGAGTGGTTGATGGAGCAGAGACGTATCCTCTTAGACCCCCGGCAGTGAAGGGTCTCGAGATGCTTGCCGCTGCTTGCCGGCATTTGCTATCTGCAGTTGCAGGCCCTGGGCTTGCCGAAGCACAAAAGGAAGACACATACCCTTGCTTAATAAAGCATGATCTCCTAACCTATCTCCAGGAAATGCTTGACGACACGAAAGCTCTTGGAGGGCCGTGCATGGACTGCGGACCTGTGAGCAGTTCAAAAGCCCTTGCGCATTGAAGGGGGATGCCAGCCGCTTGCTTTCTGCTATGCCGTGTTGCTTCGTCAATCGGTCTAAGCCGATGTCTCGCTTATGGGAAACACAATGCGCAGTGTATTCTCCGTGCGAAAACCGCAACAGAATGTAAAATCCTTTCTGCCAAGTGCTCATGTCACCAAAGGAAAGCACTTTACTCATGCGACTATTGTGGGTTTGGGAAAGGGACGGCGAACATAGTTCTTGCGGTGTGTGGCGCAGCAGAATCATGCCTTGGCGGCGACAGGCCGAGAGCCGTGGACATCAAGAAATTGGAAGCTTCAGCGACAGGCGAAGGGTACAGAGCCCTCCACGTTTTGAAGACAGCCGATTACATCGAACAACCAATCGGCAACATTTTGAAAAATCCTTTTTAAGAAACTCCGGAGAGAAGAAGAGGACCCAGAAGGGATCAGAGGAACGGGACGGTTGAGAATTACTGATCTATTTCCACGCGTTAGTTCAACTGAAAAAAGTCGCGGTGTGACAAAGAGCTATGTAGCCCGTCCCGTACCGTGTAGAGACACGATTCGGCTGCGTTCGGCTGTGGGAGTGTCTGCCGTGTCCGCTGTTGTGCGGCGTTTCCAAAGCCCGGGGGCGAGTATTTTTCCTGCTTTATGACGCATTTTGATTTTTCGAGTCTTTCGGTCACATGACGCAAAGCGTGGAATAAACTGCATCGCTGGAATTGCTGTGATCATCCTACCGAATCCGTTCGTCAGGCTGTGCTCCGCGAGCCGGGCATGAGCATCGGAAAGGCAGTGGTTGCTTTTTGTTCTTTGTACTCCATCCTCCTCTTTCCCTTTCTGTTTTCCCCTGCCCGATGTCCCTTTCCTCCCATCTTGTTGGTGGATTGAGCCCAGCTTCTCCGAGTCTTTTCATGTTGCAAGGTGTCGATTCTCTGCGGAGGCCCGGACTGGCGCCGGCCTCAAATCAGTCGAGCGAGCCAAAGCCGGAGCCGTCTCTTGACACAAGCCATGCAGCTTGCAGCCTGCGTCTTTCCGCCCTGTAACGAGATTTGAAAGCTACAGAGCCGAAACAGCATAGGGGTCATTGACCAAGCTTCGCATCTCTTTGCTTTTGCCTCAAGGCCCACCTCCGTCTTGGCGGGGATCCTGCACCTGTCGCTCTTGGAGTGCGAGCTCGGAACCCTGCCACTGACCAAGCCTGCCGAAGAGAATTGTTGTTTTGGGCTTCGGGTTCGTTGAGGGGACGCGCAACATGCACAATGCACCCGCGCTTTGTTGTTGAAAGGTCTGCTTTGTCCGTTAACCGTCCAAACGTGTAAAGCGCCATGCCTGTGCTTTAGACCCATCGTGTTCTTCGTGGCCGCCTGCTCCCTCTCGGGATCCTTCTACTTGAAGCAGCACGAGAGTGAGGTGCCTTTAGCACAGCTCGGCACTCCAGGGTCCCAGTGCTCTGTGCAGTTGTGGGACCGTGCCGCCACGTTCATGATGTCGGCCAGGACCTTAGGCCCTAGGCCATAGGATGGACTCACGAGAGCCAAGATTCGGAGTCGCGTGAGGCCTCGGTGTTCCTGTGCATGCTGCTCCAGGCCAAGCTGCCGAGCCAGCAACTCAGCAACTGCCCCTCCAGTTTCAGACTGCTCAGATCATGGGTGCCTGGGCCATACAGACGCAATTGGACCAACGGGAGTGGGAGGCGCCTGGTGCCGGCATGTTCTCCGGCCCAAGCATTGTATGTTGCGGCCAGTTGACGAAGCCCTTGGAGCAGAACGTGGAGCTGGACTGGCTGGACTTTCGCTGGCGAGAGATGTCACGGTCGCTCTTGCTGAGGCCGCGGGGGATCAGCAGACCTGGTCCTCCGTGATCGCAACTGTGGGCATGTGATCTCAGGTGGGTCGACGTCCCAGCTTGGATTCGGGCCGTGACCCTCCTTGGAGTACTCATACAGGCGCACTAAGCCTTGCAGTGGAGCAAAACTGCTTTCGTTGGCCCTGGCATTTTTGTATGGAAGGTGATGGTGGGGCAAGTGTTCTACTGGAGGCTCGCATCATCTCGCATCCGGAAGCCGTCTTCATTCCGTCCAAGCGCAGGTCGTCCATGTGTGCTTCTCCCAGCTTGAAGTCGGCTTGCGTTTCTTTTCCCGTCAGCTCATGGCCTGAGGTTTTGGGGAGTTCGAGGTCACGGACGACATCGACTCCTTGGAGTGGTGGGTGGACGGCGAGTCAGGCCTCGTCCTTCTTCCAGGAGCGGAGCAAAGCAAAGCAGTTCCCTTGCTTTCACTGGCACAGTGTGCCCTATAGCCCTGCTACAGTGCTACATTTGCTGCTACAGGACTTGTTTGCTGCTGCCTGTCGATCGGAGGTTCGAGCGATGCGCGAGCCCGCGAGCGTGCACACACTTCTGGTTGAGCTTGTTTTTCCTTGCGCCTTGGATCGAAGGCTGGGCCTTTTACTTTGTCATGTCCTGCTGGCTGAAGCAGAAGCGAGCAAAGCCCTTCTCGGACATGGCAAAGCGACTGGATATGATCGAGGTCCGCTGGAAGGAGCTCTGGGGCTGGAGCCAAGTTCATGCGACATGTTGCTGGTTCATGACCTTCCCGCCGGAAGTCGAGGAAATGAGACGCGCACTAGCCGCGGATCTTTCTGCTCATGGCGCCTGCAGGGACAACTGGGAGGCCGGAGAGGGAAGCGGGAAGTATCGGGCCGCGTGTGCCTGCTGACAGGCTTTGAGGCATGCAAACGAGACGGCCCAAGAGATGCTGAGGGAAGCACGTGTGATGGCCACGGAGTAGGGCACCTGTGGCCTCTTGCCTGGAGCAACAGCAAGGTTAGGCGGGGCGCTCGCGATCACATCCTCCAGACCCTCCGTCCAAGACGGACCGGTAGGGGAGGTGTATCCCCAAACGAGGATATCATGCTCTGTCTACTGTGCAATCCTGCTTCGTGAATCGAGCGGCTCTTGTTCAGTTCCACAAAGTCGCTGGGGCCTTTCACAGAAAGCCTCAGTACGATTCTGCAGGTCGCGCTGAAGTTTGCATTGAGGCAACAAGAGTGAAGTGAGAGTTTGACCGCGTGTGACAAGTGTTTACGAGTCGGCCCAGTCGGACCAACGAGAATACCCGGAAGCTTTTGTTCACAGAACAATTCCTGAAAGGGGGCAGAAATGCAAACCTAGGCAATCCGCGCAGGCGGAGACCTAAACGCCAGCCGTAGACTCGGAACATATACTGTAGTTGCAGGGCTCTGCAGTCATGGATGCCCTTGCCCTTCGCCCAACATGGCGCTGACACTGCCAGCAAGGAACTTAGCAGGGGCAGCAGATACAGCAAGCCGGACCAAATCATGAATCATGAAGACTGTTTCGCATGGCACAATCTTTACATTGTCTATTAATTGAGGGAGAGCAGCTTGCGGCGCTGCCTCTCCTGACCACTCGGCAGGAATCAACGCGCCATTGAGGGCGGGGTGACCTCCCGTGACACTCCGTGACCTCGAGAGCAGACTCGGCCAGTAGACTCTGGACAGAGAGGACGAAGAACGAAAGAGCTCAGCACCGACGGGAACAGTCCTTGTCAATTGTGCAGATCATAGCAACCGGTAGGGCTGGCTTTGGTTTGCGATATTGTACCAGCGAAGAGAGCTTTACAGCGACTGTCAGCGATCTCCAAACGATCAATGCTTCGCGTGCCACCGCCCTGTGGTCGTGCTGCAAGCCTTGCAAAAGAGAGCATGCAAAGGCACATGTGAGAACCTGCCCAATCCGCCGAAGTGCCGGTCAGGTCGTGTTGACAGTGAGCTCGTGTTTGCGAGGTCCCGGCCAGTCCGCACTTGGCCCGCAGCTTGCAGCCCGGGCCCCTTTGCCTCCCATCCCGCTAGGACCTAGGACCAGGGCCCTCGGCCTCAGCCGCCTCAGCCGCCTCTCAGGCCCATGCGGCAACGTTGGCAGCGCCGCAACGACCCCCCTCCTGCGACCTCGTCCGACACGGTGCCGTGGGCCCTGCCTGGGCACTCTCCCCATGCGGAAACTCTGCGCTCGCAGGCCGAAGGGGGGAAAAAGAGGCTTGCAAGCATAGCGGTGATCGGCAGGTGCCCTCAGTCGACGAAAGACAGCTCCATGATGCTCCACGCATGTCGTGTCACCGTGCTATTGCCTCCAGTGCTTGAGGTGGAGGCGTGGCCGGCCTGGCCTGCGCACGGCGCCTAGGCCCCCAAAAACTTGCGTAGGGAGCGCCTCGGAGCGCTTGCAGAGAGTCTTGCCAGGAGCTCTGGGTTTGAAGGCCACGGTCTTCGACACCGGGAAGCGAGGGCCCGCCCCACAAGCAGCCTCCGTGTGTGCATCTTCTGCTTTCGATGCCCATCCCTTCTCTTCCACCGTCTGCAGAGGCCCGGGGGCCGCGCCTCCTCTCGCACCTGGCACCAGTCTCAGCACAGAAATACCTACTCGTACCGACACTTAACTCTTGATCCCTGGCAGAGGCGCGGCCAGCTCTGTGACCATGCGAGTCAGTTCGTGACAGCCACGGACAAAGACTTCGCGGAGATGCTCGCGTCGTCAGGACTCGGGCTTGTCCGCCTTCCAGCAAGCGTCTTCCGTTCTGACTGTGACCGGTCTGGAGGCGCTGTGCGGCCCTTCGGGAAGGATGGCCGTTTTGGGACGCTCAGCAAAGCGAACTTCGAGCCGCTACAAGACGGCGTCGAGCGCTGGATCGGTCTTGAGGGTGTGGGTGGCATCGTGCGGATGCTCGCCGAGGGCCTGGACATTCAGCAGGCCCGGAATTTGAGCAGAACAAATCAGTGACTCAGGGCGTC